AACGGAGGGATTAACAGAGACTGGGACCGTTCTGCTTCCCTTCCTCCGGCTCTGCTGGAGGATTATACTGTGGCACACGTCGGGGAAGAGGATTGTGCCCCCAGGGCCAAGAACACGCTCTGGAACCGGTTTTACATAGTGGCGATCAAGGCTGTGACGCGCCCAAACGCTTTCTTGAGCATTGCCGGAAGAGGAGGAGAACAAAGCAAGGAACATTTTAGAAGCTAAAAGATTCCTGAAAGGAGCATTCTTATCTCTGACAAATCTCCTTTACCTGTTTCTCCATAAAAGGAAACACGGGACAGCTATTGCTACACTACCAGAGTGGATGGTGCAATGCTACGGCAGACCCTCACCCAACATCATTGGCCATCTACTGTGGTATTGTAATAGTATCTGACCTCTGTTTTCCTTTGGTGGTGCTGTTGTCTGCTGCTACAGTCCACGTTTAACAGAAGACGTGGCCACAATCCAGAAGGCTCTGAAAGGAGCCAGCAATTCTCTCATCTGAACCCATCTTTGTGGCTTCCTGTGGGCTCCAACATGCAAGAAAGAGCATGATTGTCCTGTGCCAATGACATCACAGCCTGTCAGTCTCAGAAAACTGGACACTACTTGTCCTCTTCCGGTTTGGTGTAGTGGTTAAGTGCACGGACGCTAATCTGGGAGAACCGGGTTTGATTCTCCACTCCTCCACTTGCACCTGGCTGGATGACCTTGGGCAAGCCGTAGTTCTGATAAGAGCTGTTCTTGAAAAAGAGCAGTTTCCTTCAGAGTTCTCTCAGCCCCACCTACCTCACAGGGTGTCTGTTGTGGGGAGGGGAAGGGAAAGGAGTTTGTAAGCTGCTCTGAAACTCCCTTGGGTAGTGAAGGGCGGGGTATAAATCCAATCTCTTCTTCTTCTTCTGTCAAACTGGATGTCAAGTGAGTTATCTTGGGTGTTGTAGAGGTCATAGAATTAGTGTGCACTCATCTGTTACCTGAATTAACCAACCAGCCCCACTAGCTAAAAAGAACTACGTACCACAAGCCAGAAATTGACTCAAAGCCAGCCCAGATCTGTCAGATCTTTGCATTGCTTGGCAATGTTTTTTTCAGGTTGATCCACAGAAAGGATCAACCTTTTTCCTCCGGGATAATCCTGCAGCAATTGCGGGGAATCTGGTGTGAAAAAACGCACAGCCTGTTCTGGTCCCTCTAAGCATGGTCCAGCATGCCGCCTGTGGCAGCTAAGCCCTGCTGAGGCTCAGAAGCACTAGAAAGGTGCAATAAATGCAGGGCAAGGTGTGAGCCTCTTCTCTAAAGTTGTTCACTCCCACAGAATTTTTGCTTCTTCTGAACTGCCTGCAGCTGTTCTGTCCCTCCCGGAGAGCCAGTGTGGTGTAGGGGTTAAGAGTGGTGGACGCTAAGCTGGAGCACCAGGTTTGATTCCCCACTCTTCCACATGCAGCCAGCTGGGTGACCTTGGGTCAGTCACAGTTCTTGCAGCGCTCTCAACCAATGTTCCCTCTAAGCTGTGGAGTCTTGTGAGCAAAAATTCTATTTTGTGAGCTACTGGCATTAAAGTTGTGAGCGAGCAATTTGGTTACTGCATAGATTAGTCTGCTCTGGAGCCATCCTTCCTGAGCTAGGATAAAAATGTGTGAGCAGGAGGCTAAAGAACTGTGAGCTAGCTCACACTAACTCAGCTTAGAGGGAACACTGCTCTCAACTGCACCTACCCACAAGCAGTGTTCCCTCTAAGCTGAGTTAGTGTGAGCTAGCTCACAGTTTTTTAGCCTCTGGCTCACAGATTTTTGTCTTAGCTCAGGAAGGAGGGCTTCAGAGCAAACTAATTCATGCAGCAGCCAAATCGCTCGCTCACAACTTTAATGCCAGGAGCTCACCAAGTAGAATTTTTGCTCACAGGACTCCACAGCTTGGAGGGAGCCTTGCCCACAAGGTGCCTGTTGTGGAAAGATGAAGAGAAGAAGATTGTAAGCCACTCCAAGGCTCCTTCAGGTAGAGAAAAGCGGGGCATGAAACCCAACTCTTCTCCTCTTCCTCCCTCTGCCCTGTGATGCTGCCAGGCTCCTGCTTTCCCAGGGCGGGGCTTTGAGCAGCGCTTGAGGCTGTCAGAGCTAGATCTGCTGCTTCCCCAATCAGCTACAATCCATCTCAGCTTCACCCAGCCTCTCTGGGGCCTCTGTCAGGGCAAGGCCCCCGCGGCTGCCAAGCCTCAGCTTTTCCCGCGGGTGCTGGAATTATGGGGCTGCCCAAGTGCACAATTCCTGCACCTCTGGGCCTGGCTCTTTAATCATTTCCTCAGGAATTTCTGAACTGGCAGCATGGAAGATCCTTGTGATCAGGGCTTTTTTTTGTAGAAAAAGCCCAGCAGGAACTCATCAGCATAATAGGCCACACCCAGCAGCAGAAACTCATTAGCATATTAAATCACACCACGTGCCTTCCCTTGGTTTGCTTGGGCGCCCCATGGCTGTGGGAAGCCTGGGCAAGCCGGCCCTTGGACAGGCCAGGGAAGGCACGGGGAGGCATTTAAATGCCTCCCTGATCCTTCCAGGGGCCCCCCTGGCCCGCCCACCTTGGAGTCGCTGGGGGGGTCACTCTCTAGGCCTTCCCTCTGTAGCCATACACACAGAGGTTTTGGCTGTAGTGGGCGTGGCCAACTCTGAAGCCAGCCGGAACTCCGTTCCTGTGCGTTCCTGCCCAAAAATAGCCCTGCTTGTGATAATCTCCCCTCCCTCCCATCTTGTTTTGCTTTCTGCTATCTCTGTTGTCCTAACCCTGGTGGGAGTTATCCTGGGGGGGGGGAGATTTATTTACGTTATTTTTGGTCCCCTTCCTCACAGGGACTCAAGAGGGGTTACTCATAGTGAGTCAGGACAATCAACTCTTATTATTGAGAAGAAGAAGAGGAGGTTTTTATAGTCTGCTTTTCTCTGCCTTAAGGAGTCTCAAAGCGGCACACAGTCTCCTTCCTCTCACTGCAACAGGCACCTTGTGAGGTAGGCGAGGCTGAAAGAGCTCTGAGAGAACTGTGACTGGCCCAAGGTCACCCAGCAGGCTTCTTGTGGAGGAGGAATGGAAAATGAAACCTGGCTCTCCAGATTAGAGTCTGCCGCTTTTAAGGGCTACACCATGCCGGCTCTCGTCCTAATACATTAAAATTTTAGAAGTCTGGAACCATCAGAAAGAATTGGAGCATTAGTAGTCACGTGACACATTAAGCGGTACAGAAACTGCATAGTAGGATCCTACTTACAATAAGCTACATGCAGCAGAGTAGACCACAGTCTCAATCATTTTATCCAGGTAAGTTTGTGAACCCTTTTGTACAATGCAGCCCTGTTACCTGCACAAAAAAGCCCTCTTGAATAGTTCAGTTTTTGCGTAGTTTGCCGAAAGCCGGGCGAACAGGAGCTTTCCTGACCTCCACGGGCTGAGTTTGTGTGCACAGCCCCTAGATGTGGTCTGGTTGACGCAGTGGGGGTGGGGGAAATAGGTTTTCTTTCTGCCTGGAAGACTTTCGGCTGCAGATGCGACATCCTGTTTAGCCACGGCACAGAATGTTCCATCCCCACCTGAACAGGTGCCTCCCTGCCCTTAACAATGACCACATCCTGAGTCCCTCCCATGCCTCTTAGGGCAGAAGCTTAGAAATGGGTCAGGGCCAGGCAATGGTCTCCAGAGAGGAAGCACACCTGGACCATTGGTCCTGTCTTCCCCCCGGCTTCATAGGATGAAGGCAGTTCCGGATGGACGGGGGCAGGGGGCAGATGCTGATTACTGGAGTGGATGTACATGAAGCTGCCTTCTACTGAGTCAGACCCCCGGTCTGCCAAGAACCGAATTGTCCACTCTGGCTGGCAGCAGCTCCCCAAGGTCTCAGGCAGAGGTCTTTCACATCACCTCCTACCTGACCCCTTGAACAGGAGATACCTGGCACTGAAGCTGGGATCATCGATGTGTCATGGAAGACGAACCACAGCCCCTGTGTATTTCAAAACTGATTCTCCTCCCTAGCATGCACACAAACACATACCCACAATTTTTTGGGGTGGTGGGCGGGGGATTCTCTCACCTCCTTGGAGTGATCCTGCGCCTCTCTGGGCTGCTCGACCCCCAGCAGGCCCCAATCCGTCAGCTCCTTGCACCAGGCCAAACGCAAGACGGTCAAGTTCAAGAGGTGGGTAGAGATGGCTTGGAGGCTTTGGTTGGTGATGGACGTGCAGGAGGAGAGATCCAGAACCCGAAGGCTTCGGCTGAGTGCTCCAGCCAGCACGATGACAGAGCTGTCCTAGGAGAGGCGGGAGGAAACGGTTTACAGATCTCTTGCAACTTTTGATTGACTTCCTTTCTTTACCATCTGCCTTTCTTGTTGAGGCTTGAGGCAGATGGCAGATTTGTAAAAACCATGCGACAAAGATTGGCTCGATACGTCCAATAAACAGTGCAACGGAACTGGACCGCACGGTTAGAGAACTACGAAAAGGCCGTCTCCAATAAGCTGAAGTGCAGGATTTCGACGTCTGATGCTCTGTATTTTATTTTGTGTCTGTACTGACTTTGCCCAAGACCTTCAGTGAGAGGACTGTATTAATAATAAAGGGAAGGAAGCTGAAGCCAGTTTGGTGTAGTGGTTAAGTGCGCGGACTCTAATCTGGGAGAACCGGGTTTGATTCCCCACTCCTCCACTTGCACCTGGCTGGATGACCTTGGGCAAGCCATAACTCTGGCACAGCTGTTCTTGAAAAAGAGCAGTTTCTGTCAAGAGTTCTCTCAGCCCCACCTACCTCACAGGGTGTCTGTTGTGGGAAGGGGAAGGGAAAGGAGTTTGTAAGCCGCTCTGAGACACCTTTGGGTAGTGAAGGGCGGGGTATAAATCCAATCTCCTCTCTTTTTCTCTTCTGAAGTGCACAAGCAACTGCACCTGAAGCTACGTAGCGGCGAGAGAAAGGAATTGCTTCTCTGTATCCTAGAATTCTGGCTTAAGCTCACAAGCGACAATCAAAGCCTCTTTTGCCAGGCCTTGGTGTTTAGTCATGCCGGCCACATGACCACGGAAACGTCTTCGGACAGCGCTGGCTCTTCGGCTTTGAAACGGAGATGATCACCGCAACCCTAGAGTCGGACTCGACTGGCTTTCGAGCAAGTGAACCTTTACCTTATTTAGACGACTGTGATTTCTGTCCTGCCTCTGTCCCATAAGGCTTGTGGGACAGCCTGAACGACCCCTCTGGATAGGCTGTTTTTTTGTATTTAAGATAAGAAGTGACCTCTGAACGGATTCAAACCATTTGGGCCGCACAGGCCGGGAGTGTCTTATCTGACTGGCGGCAGCATCTTGACGACGATGGGTCCAGATCAGCGTTCCCTCTAAGCTGTGGAGTCTTGTGAGCAAAAGTTCTACTTTCTGAGCTACTGGCATTAAAGTTGTGAGGGAGCGATTTGGCTCCTGCATAAGTTAGTTTGCTCTGGAGCTGTCCTTCCTGCGCTAAGACAAAAATGTGTGAGCCGGAGTCTAAAAAACTGTGAGCTCGCTCACACCAACTCAAGGGAACAGTGGGCCAGCTCTTGCTTGGATCCCGGAAGCACTGAGGCCTCCCCCCCCCCCCGTTTGCCATGGCCTCCGTAGGTCTTGTTTTTTAGAAGAGTGGGGGGGTCAAGGTCTAGCCTCTAACTTTATGAGCCCCATCCTTGAACAGAATTAATTCAGCCCCTCCTCTATTTTTGTTGTGATGGGGAGGGAGGGTGAGTTGATTTCTGGATGTTCCCAAGGAGGAAACATGGTGTAGTCCGGGAGCTAAGAGTGCAGTCCTAGGCAGAGTTTCACTGCTCTAAGACCACTGACTTCATTGTCCTTAAAAGGGTGCAACTCTGCTTGGGATTGCACTGCTAGCCACTGGACTACACCAGGCTCAACTATCATCTCAGCTGGGCCATCAATAGGTGATCTTAGGGGACCTGAGTTACAAGAGGGAGAGGCTTGATCTTCTTCAGTATAGGTGAATGGCCCAGCCTCGCCTGGTCTTGGAAGCTAAGCAGGGCCAGCCCTGGTTAGTACCGAGATGGGAGACCGCCAAGGAAGTCCAGGGTTGCTACACAGAGGCAGCCAATGGCAAACCACCTCTGCTCATCTCTTGCCCTGAAAAGCCTTTGAGGCCACCAGAAGTTCACTTTCCACCCCCACCTTCCAGGGCTGTCGTAAGCATCACTGAGATCGTACACAGGAAGCCTTTTGAATGCCGGAAGTTCCTACACAAATATTAAGTATTATTCTTGATAGGTTGCCAACTTGGGGAACCTGTTTGAGCAGAAAGGCAGTATAGAAATGCTTTAGAAGAAGAGATTGGATTTATACCCCACCCTTCACTCGGAGTCTCAGAGCGGCTTACAAACTCCTTTCCCTCCCCCTCCCCACAACAGACACCCTGTGAAGTAGGCAGGGCTGAGAGAGCTCTGACAGAAACTGCTCTTTTTCAAGGACAGCTCTTATCAGAGCTACGGCTTGCCCAAGGGCAGGCCAGCAGCTGCGAGTGGAGGAGTGGGGAATCAAACCCGGTTCTCCCAGATTAGAGTCCACACAGCCACTACACCAAACGATGTCCACGAGTGTTCCATTCCAGATGGCCAGGGTGGGGTGGCATTCACAGAAAGGTTCAGAAGTCTGCTGTTAAGATGTATACACACGGGACACTGAAAAACAAAAACCCCTTGTATTCTGAGATCATTTGTGGTCCTCAGCAGAGAGGGGGTCTCTTGAAGAACAGCAGCATATCTGAAACATGGGGGGGAACATGACTGCCCCCCATCCAACTGCCGCCTCCTTGCCCCTTGTTTAATTATGCATTGTGTTGATACAAAGACAGAAGAAGGATAGTCTTAGAGACAACCCTTAAAACTTACTTTTAGCAAAGAGCAGAAGGCGACATTCAATGAGACCAATGGAGGCCGTCCCTCAATAGCCCTGAGGGCTTTCACCAGCTCGCTGGAGCTCACAAAGCTGCATTCGGACACATTCAGGCTTTGGAGGCACCTCAGGTGCGAAACTCCCCGGAAGCCGGCGTCTGTGACCCGCGGGAGCTTCTCCAGCCTCAGGCACCGAAGGTCCAGGAGGCGGGAGCAGAGGGCCAGGATGGCCTGGTCGGTCAGCTCAGAGCAGCCGCTCAGATCTAGCGTGGTCAAGTGAGGCTGGTGCTGACACAAGATGCTGACGGCCTCGTCAGAGAGGTCCCGGCAGTCATGGAGCACCACCTCGTGCAGGCGCAGGTTCGCCACCTGGACCAGGGACTTCACGGCCTGGCTGGAGATGCTGGTGCTGCTCAGGTCCAAAGCCTTCACACAGCCAGCCCGCTCCGCGAGGAAGCGCAGGAGGTTGCGGAAGGACAGGAGGGCCGAGGAGTTGTAGTCCCGGGAGCCGTGGTACGCGTCAAACTCAAAGGTGATGTGGCAGCGGGCGAGGGACAGCTTGGCCAGCCGGGGGGCACACTTGGTCAACCGGTTGAAGGTGAGGTCGGACAGGTAACGCACGCCGGACAGGTTAAGGTCCTGCAGGTTGCCCAGGGCCCCCTGTGCTCGGAGGAAGGTCTCCTGTTTGGAAAGCAGAGTCCCTGGCATGAAGAGGCTGTTGCAGCCGCTCAGATCCAAGGTGGTCAGGCAAGGGCAGGCAAAGAGGAGCTCCTCGAAGCAGGCCTCCGTGAAGCTGCTGCCCCGCAGGCACAGGTGGCGCAGGTGGGAACCCAGGTAACCGGCCACGTACTTGACGACCTCTCGGGAGGTGGAGGAGCTGTCCAGGTTGATTAGCTGGATGCTGCAAACCCGTCTCCGGGACAGGCTTTTGATGGTCCCGAGGGAGGCGGAGGAAGCCGGGATGGTGTAGAAAATGCTCTCCTCCTGGAAGCAAACGAGTGCAGTGAGACGGCAAAGAAAGACAGAGTGAGGCAGACGGATAATGACGATGGCAGCTGTGGTGCTGGCCGCCAATATGACAGTCAGGGCAACGGTGGTGGCAGATCGAGGTCTGGGAGATCCAGGTTTAGAATCTCTGCTCGGCCACAGAAGCTCACCGGGTGACCTCAGGCCCGCCTCTCGGCCAAACCTGCCTTGCATGGGGGTGGCTGGGAGGGTGAAATGGAGGCAGGAATACCGGTGTTGGGGGCCATCTTGGGTCCCCACTGGGGAGAAAAGTGGGGTGCAAATAACTTAAGTCATCACAGCCAAAACCAGGGCTTTTTTTGTAGAAAAAACCCAGCAGGAACATCATTAGCATAATAGGCCACACCTAACAGCTGAAACTCATTAGCATATTAGGCCGCACCCCCATGTTACCAGAAGTGTGGTCATCCAGCCACACCCACCTTTTGCTT